TCGTACACACAGTGCGGCTTTGCACAAACTTCCATGGTGTGCATCCTTGTGACGGATCGAAAGAGCCTGGTTTCTATTGGCTATAACAGCTAGCCAATGGCGTAATGTATGTTTTGATCCTTATGTGTTTGAAGCTCCACCTCGTTATTTTGTGTTTCTTTACGCCATTTTTTCTAGATTTCTAAGCACTCGATGGCTGATCTGCAGTGTGGAGCTATTTTGATACACACGCACATGTTCCTTTTTGCAAACCCGCGTTTAAAATGGGGTTGATGCTATATGTTGAGTGCGTATTTTTTGCTTTATGCTCCTTTACGTTAGTCGAGTGCTAGTATATCTCGCACGAGGTAGAACAGGGCCTGTCCACAACAATCATATCAGTGAAAAATGATATGATACACGACTTCTATGGTGCGTGACATCTGTGCGTTTGCCGTTGTCTGTTCGGTGTTTTTTCTACAGTCGCTCATATCTGCAAACTCAACAAACACAGCACAACATTTTTGAAACACGAGTCAATATTTGTGAAACACAACAAAAATTTAGAGAAACGCAACAAATATTTGCCCAACACAGCATGATATTTGTGAAACACAACATAATATCTGTGAAACACAACACAAAATTATCGAAACACAAAACAAAATTATTGCAACTGGCGGACCGCTCGGGTAAGCCTCGGTACGAGAGCATGAAAACGAGGCGNATTTTTTCTAGATTTCTAAGCACTCGATGGCTGATCTGCAGTGTGGAGCTATTTTGATACACACGCACATATTCCTTTTTGCAAACCCGTGTTTAAAATGGGGTTGATGCTATATGTTGAGTGCGTATTTTTTGCTTTATGCTCCTTTACGTTAGTTGAGTGCTAGTATATCTCGCACGAGGTAGAACGGGGGCCTGTCCACAACAATCATATCAGTGAAAAATGATATGATACACGACTTCTACGGTGCGTGACATCTGTGCGTTTGCCGTTCTCTGTTCGGTGTCTTTTCTACAGTCGCCCATATCTGCAAACTCAACAAACACAACACGACATTTTTGAAACACGAGTCAATATTTGTGAAACACAACAAAAATTTAGAGAAACGCAACAAATATTTGCCCAACACAGCATGATATTTGTGAAACACAACATAATATCTGTGAAACACAACACAAAATTATCGAAACACAAAACAAAATTATTGCAA